CTACCTTGGATCGAGTACGCCCATAACTCCCAGAGATCAGCTTCCACCGGCCAGTCACCATTTCAGGTCAGTCATGGATACCAACCACCACTTTTCCCCGCAGATGAAAAGGAGATAGCAGTCAAGACCATCAACCAACACATCCGTCGCTGTCAAAGGATTTGGAAAGAAACCATCACCACCCTCAACAAATCATCAGAGACCACCAAACTTTTTGCCGACTCCAGGAGACGTCCCGCTCCCGAGTACGCCATCGGACAGGAGGTATGGCTGTCCACCCGAGACATTCCCCTCAAGGGAATGTCTCGGAAACTGTCTCCCAGATTCATCGGTCCATTTAAGGTTTCCCAGGTCATCAGTCCCTCCGCAGTCCGTCTCCAGTTACCTCCGAGTCTTCGCATCCACCCCACCTTTCACGTTTCTCAGGTCAAGCCCGTAGTCTCTAGCCCTCTGTGCCCGCCATCCGACTCCCCACCACCCGCCCTGGAAGTCGATGGCCACCCGGCTTTTACCGTCCGTCGCATCGTGGACTCCCGTCGGCGAGGTCGCGGCTGGCAGTACCTCGTCGACTGGGAGGGCTACGGACCTGAAGACCGTCAGTGGGTTCCCGGCTCTTACATCCTCGATCCTTCCCTGATCGAGGAGTATGAGCGTTCCTGCCCATCTACTTCCTCCGGACCGCCAAGGGGCGGTCGTTGAGGGGAGGGTACTGTTGGAAGCTGGAGAAGTACCTCTCTTCTCCAGCAGTCCGCCGTGGATCCTCCTGAGCAGAGCCCTCTGCACAGCTGCTGCTCGTTACCATCATCAGGAGGACCCTCTACTTAAGCTGTCTTCAGACCTTGCCTCAACGCCGCAGTGTTGAGCCAGTTGGTTAGCACCTAAGCCCAGAACCTCTCAGAACTTTTGCTTGCTCTGAGAACCTGACAGGATCCTAATCTTGTCTCTGTCTTTCCAGGAAAACCTGATCTTTCTTCGTGAAGCTCTGGAGGAGCTTAACCCACCGAGCCTGCCCTCAGAGCCAAACCTGAAGACTTCCCCTGGATTCTCTTGCAGCTCTGGACCAAGAGCTGGAAATCCAAAGTCAAGGTCTGCTACCTTTCTAGAAGCAAGACGCTGAAGCAGCTAACGGACTCAGCTAATCAGACTCTCTCCAGTTCCAACAACCTTCCTCTCCAAGATCCATTCAAGGACCCACAAGGTACAAACCTGAGACTATCAAAGGACAAACCGCTAAGAGCCCTGCTAACTAACTGTCTTCCTCACAGACTCCGGTGAACCCGTTTGCCCTGGACCAGAACCAGAACATACTATCATTGGATTGTATTCAATAAACTCTGTTAACTTTTCATCTGTTTCCTGTGTCGTGGTGTTCTGCATAATTGGGTCACATTCGTGTACCGATCATGACAGTTACCTTAAAGCCGCTTTAACATTTAGCCATAATTCTTCATGTTTTCCTACTAATGATTAATGTCTGCTCCTCAAAATCGAAATAATAAATGCCATAAAGAGTCTTCTAAGCTAAATGATCAATCTGTTATTGATTGAGGACTATGTACAGTCATACAGTAGCTTTTCTGTTTTCAATTAAAGATGTTTTTCTTATAGCATTTTTTTTGTTTTCATACCTTAGAACCACAACACTTTTATTTTCCATACTGCAGGTCTATATGTTATGTCTATTGTCCATCTCTCTTCATAAATTTTATTTTATATACTTAGTGTTTGCATATGTCATGATAATCCAACCTGTTTTCAGATCATTGACTGATTTTAGGAGAATAAAAGACTTTAACCTTTATAGAGCAAAAAGCTACATCATAAAATCCCTGAACACGGCCTTCATAGCTCCCCAGATTCTTAAAGATGAGAAAATGAAAGAAAGAAAAAAATTAACCTTCAGCACACTTGGACAACGCAATACATCAGAGGAACATTAAGCTCAACAGGGTCTAACAGGGTAGTTTTTATTACAAGACAACTCTTAAACTGTGGTCTGATGCTGTTGGAAACTGCTGACAAAAGCTTGTGGTTCAGATCTGTACTTGGGTGGACCTAAAAAAGCCCTTTAGCAGAAAATAGCAGACGCTTAATGTAGGGAGCTCAGACAGGTACAGTCATTAATCACCTCCGGCTGGAGCTTGACCTGAGAAGCTCAACTGGGTTAGAATTTTTTATGAAAAGGAAACCATAATCAACACCCTGAATATAAAATAGCCTGTATCTTCATAATGCTAATTACATATTCTAATAAACACATTAATGACCATGATGAAATAGCAGCTTTAGATAAGCAACTGGATTGTTAAATTGGTGCCAGATTTTAAAGCAGCTGATGGCCAGATGTAGAGCTGTAAAATGTGTTTTTAACAGCCCAAATTTTCTATATTTTGCTCATTTTACATTTGCAAACTTTATAGTGATTTAATATGATAGGCCTAGACATAGAAGAGCAACTCGTAAAGATAATAAATGGCGTTGAAAATGTTTTACAAAAAAAGGGGGGGGGAATTTATGTCATGTTTTTGTATTCAGGCCCTTTAAATCAATGCTTTGCTGGACAACCTTTGGCTGTAATTATAGCTGGAAGTATTTCGGGTTGTCTCTAAAAACTTTGTATATCTAATCGGCAAAATCTTCACATTTCTTTGTGAAATAGCTCAAGCTAAGTCAAGTGTTATTTTCAGCATTTAACTTAAATTTACTGTTGCTTCATTCTCATTTTCATAAACCCTTAACATGGTTGGTCTACCTGCTAAAGAAATAGCCTCCTCATAGCATTATGCTGCCCCTACCATGTTTCACTGCCGGGATGTTGTATTTAGTCTCCCAACACCTTTAGCGCTGTACATGTAAACCTTAATGTTTCATTAATTCTGGTCTCCTTTAACCATCTAATTTAACATGGTTGCTGTCTCTCCTACGTGCTTTCCATTCCTCCACGAAGTCCAAACGTCTAAAGCTTTTAACAATCTCTGCAGCTCGTCCACAGTTCCCATTAGCCTCCTGTGTATTTTACGTGGACAGCAAAGTAATGATAAATTAACTCTACTTAATACTCCTCCTCATCTTTCTCTCTATCCCGCCATGTTTGTACTCCCCACAAAGCCGTTTGTTTCGTACACTAACAAACCTCTGAGGCCATAACAGAGCAGTTACATTTATACTGAGATTAAATCCCTCATAGATTAACCTCTGAAGACAGACGTTTCAACTGGTTTCTGTGTAGAGGTGTCAGGGTAAACCAGGTATTATTTTCCTTCCACTTTTCGTATTTGGTTTAATTCTGTCATACTGATCTAAGGTTTTGAAGACGATACAAGGCACAGCAACTTTTATCAATCAAGGTTGACTAATTCAAATAAAGGTTGAACCCAAACACTCAATAGCCTTTTCTCAGCAGCCTCACTCCCTGAAACGTCCTCACTGCTTTATCCATCCACTGTAAAAGTGATGGCGTGAAATTTAAGGATGACCTGGATGTTTCTGAGAAACCACCCTCGGGTGAGTCACCGTTCACCCACACAGAGCAGCCCCTCATAATGCTTTCAGCATCTGTGTGACCCTCCCCTCCAGCTTACACCTCCACCCCCTCCCTGTTACTGTGGCTCCCCTCTCTGCAGCCCAAACTGCAGAATGTGATATAGTGGTGATTATTGGGTGGGGGGCGGTATTTCATTCATCATGGTATGGATTAACCTATTTCCTTATAAAGTGAAATCTTATTTGATTTTGTTGTTGGGCTGTAAGACTCCCACTAATGAGCCAAACATCCATCCTAACTAGAAGTGACAGCTTCCACTGGAGAACATGAGCCAGCTGCCTCTACTCCATGTGAGCGCGTGAAGCAATTCCAGCTGCGCCAGAGATACAATCTGCTGCATCATCGCATTTAAAGGCAACCGGCCAACAAGTCTGCGTTCCTACATCTAACAGCAGTCATACCAACACAGAGAAACAAGATGTTAACCAGAACTGGATCTAAATATTAATTTATAGATTAAAACTGTGGAATGTTGCTCTTCCAGAATATTTCTCTTAAAAACATGTTTTACCGGATGTCTGGAGGGAGATGTGGGTAAAAGTGGTGCGGCTATTTGGCGCCACTTGTTTTCCACGCATGGATTGGTGGATTAATGGATCGGACCCTCAGGTGAAGAGAAGAGGTGGAACCAGGCGGGGGTGTCATAGTGCGGGTTTCACCGCGGTTCTCCCTGGAGGGAACCCCTCACCCCCCGCCCACCACTCTTGCACTCAGCACCAGGATCTATTTTGCGCTCCCTTAATGCCAGAGCCACGCTAAAAGATGCCGCGCACTTTGCGTGAAAGCAGTAAAAACAAGCGACGCATTCTTACAGCGCGATCGTGCCCCCCGCCCCTCCCTGATAGCTCCACCGCAGTCCCCCTGCCTCGGTGTGTGAGGCTCAGTCAGGCTGTCACAGACTGATTCATGCCTCCTCATTTTGCTGCGACATACAGGATGGGATGAGGGACTGAAATGTGAAAAAACAAACAAGAAAAAAAAACAGAAAAGCAACCGAACCCCTCCCCCGCATCATATAATGCGGGGTTTGGACACACACACACCCCACCCTCTCTATCTTTTTAACCATTTTTCCACCTGCTGGAAATGCGCCCTGCGCCTGGCGCTGTCCGCGGTGCTGAAATCGCCCACATCCAACATGCGCATTATAGCGCAGCGCAGCCATCCTCCCAGCGATCCGCTGCGTGTTTCAGATTGATCACCCAGGACGTCACGCATTGCCTCCCATCCCTCTCACCGCGCTTTGATCTCCGCTTCTTCCTTCCCGTTAATAACAGCAAACATCAACACCTCCGTGTCCCAGATTAGCTAATGCCATTTACCTCCTCATTAGCTTCATTTATTACAGAGAGGACAAGAAGGACATCACTTGCTTGATTGTGTCAAACCTCTGCCGCCGCAGCACCTTGTTTAATGAGTGCACCATCAAGCATGGATAAAAGAGCTGGGATCTTACCTGCGCCTGCTGTCAGTGCCCTGCAGTCAGTACTGGAGGAAGCGTCTGTCTCTACCAGCAGCTGAGCGGTTACAGCCTCTCTCTCTCTCTCTCTCTCTGAATGTGACTGGGATGCTGCAAAGGCACTGCGCGTCCTTCTGCTTCCTCCTCACTTCTTCTTCAATGGTGGAGGGTGGTGGGTGGGAGGATGGGGTTGCAGTGCAGCTCTTGTCAAAGATGGCGGACACTTTTGACGTCAGCACCAGCTTTTAATAGATATCTGTCAGAGAGAGAGAGAGAGAGGAAGAAAATGAGGCAGCTGCATAACAACATATTTAATGTTTTTTTTTCTAAATACTGACACAAGCTTTTATTTATCCTCAGATGCACTGGAACTTTAAATGGGATGCTCCTTTTTGTCTCCTTATAAACACACAAATAGATAATTCACACAAAACAAATTTCCAGTGACAAATGTTTATAAAATATCAGACTTTTGTTAAAATATTGTTCAAGGACATAAAATTGTAAAAATGTGGCATCATTTCTATCCATTCAGTACTAAATGAGTTCCAGCCTTGACAAATCATCATCATACAGATTCCTCCAGCCTGTAATCTAACTAAACAGCACCATGAAGACTGAGGAACGCAGTACGTAAGTCAGGGAGGGAGTTATGGAGAAGGATTCATTTTTTATTGACATTTACAGTTCAAAGAGGGTTTTTTTTTTTATATTCAATCCACTTATTAAGAATCTCACTTGGCAGAAATGTTGCATGAACTTGGAAAAGCAGACAACTTATTACTTTTGATAAATATTGACTAGAGTAAATGTATTCCCTTTTGTAAAGAATTATAAATGTATTTTTATTTTAAGTTTTTTTTTTAAGGATAGAGACATTTCCTTCTATGAGATATTAATATGTGAGGACAGTGATGTAAAAAAGCATACAGTATCGAAACTAATTCAACCTGAACAGACTTACAGAGAAAAGCTTCAAAATATTTCTATCTAAAGAAATTCTTCTGATTGCGAGCGACTTATTGACTCTGCAATCTCTTGCAATGAGCATCCATATAGCGACAGTGGAGAGGAAAACTCCCTTTTAACAGGAAGAAACCTCCAGCAGAACCAGGCCCAGTGTGAGCGGCCATCTGCCGAGGCCGACTCTGAGTTCAAGGAGTTAGAAGCAGGTAAAGACATAAATGAAATAAGTTCTTCGGCGCTCTGGCCCTGGAATAAACGTACACTTGGATGAGTAAGCTAGAAAATAATTAGATTAGTCTTCCCTTGTGATGGTGGTTAAATAAGCCAGGGCCATGATGGGCTTTAAGGATCTGACCCACATGCAGAAACACACTCAGAAGCCAAGGTAAAATGTTAACAGGTTTATTGTGGTTTACAAAAACACAGACTGGGAGATATACAGCTGGGTAACACTGTTGGACCTCAGCGGACTGGTGAACTGGAACCGCAAACTCTGAAGGGGAGATAACAATGATCAGTTCAGGGACTGTAGGAAAAATGACTGAGGCTTGTGATTTGCAGGAGAGGCACTCACATTTGGGGAACTCTTGGTTAATCTTTGGATCCAGTTTGTGGGTGCTTATCCAGAGATTAAAGAACTTGTTGGAGGGCGGACAGGCAGAATAACGTAGGATCCAGAGGAGCAATGGAGCAGACTGTCACGGGGTTTTCCTGAAGAGGACATGAACAGATCATGTGAAGGTTTCCGCTTGCTCAATTGTGACTCAGTTTATCCTTCCAGAGGGGTAGAAGGTCCAGGCTTATCCAGTGGATCAGGAAGGCTTCCTGCCTTCAAAGACAAAGCAAGCTTAGACACAGAAAGACAAGGCTAAAGGTTAGACTCAGCTAATCTCAGTTTGGCTAGAGTACCCAATACTGGAAAACACTCTGGCGTCAAGGTAGTGACAGCCCGCTGCTCAAATACTCCTCTGGTGATGACCCAATGAGCCGCAGGTGTGCGAGGAGGCCCAAACGAGGACAGGGCACAATCTAGTGGTGGAAAAAGAAAACGCAAAAACAACTGAATTCCTAACTGCCAGAGGGTGAGTAGGACTGCAAATGTGGGAGGAGATGGGGTGGAGGTGGGTGAAAGTTTGCTTGCGTACAGGAGAAAGAACTGGGCCAGGAGATAAATGAAGGGGATCATGAAAGATGATTGGCTTTGGAGAAGGTGTGACCCCGAGTTGATTGGCTGGAGCTGAACAAGGGAAATTGCAGGTGGTTCAGGTGAAGCTGATAAGAGTCTTCCAGATTGAATCAGCTCTTAAGCTTCACTGATTTAAAAAGTATCTAAATAAATATATCACTAGCTCTTTAAGTATCACTCTGTTGTGAATCTTTATTTTCTTAATTTCATAAAAAATTAACTTTAAACCACCAAGATACCTCATTTTTGTTTAACATTTGTTGGTTCTTTACCATCCATCGCAGCTTTTGTGACAGCTCTACAACAACACATGTGGAATTGAAAACAGGGTGAGCCAAGAGATCCAAAGTAACTGGAGATTTGCTGAGGAATGAAAAGAAAGAAAGAAAGCAGTAAGACAAACCTTGAGCATAAAACGCCATGAAGAGGACACAGCAAGCATGTAAAACAATATGCTCTGGTCAAATGAGACCAAAATTGACATTTTTACCCAATCTATAAAGCAATCTGTTCAGTGGAACCACTGAACACCGTACTAAACAAAACCAGCCTGCAAGACATGGTGGCTACAGCATCAAGCTGTAGGAAGAATTTCTTCGGCAGGGACATGGGACATGATGGGAAGGTAAATAGAGCTACTGTAAATACAGGAAAAACATTAAAGGAATCCTGTTGGAAGCTACAAATGGTCCACTTTCAACCAGGAAAATATATTTTTAAGAAACAGAGAAAGCTTCAGTATGTAAGACATACAAATCTAGAGCAGAAACACTCAAAAATACCTTCAACTGAAGCTAAGGTAGTTCTGTTATCAAATAGGTAGAATACCCAGAAATCTGCATTGGGATGCAACATAATGTGGCAAAGTTTAAAGCCTATGGATATTTTTTTTCAATAAACAAGACCTTTGCTGTCCAACCAGAAGCCTGAAGGTCTACATGAAAGCTACTCTAGCCTAAAGGGATTTCATCTCGCTCTAAAACCGAATGTTTTTTTTTTTTTAAAGGGACCACTCCATGTTTGCCACATTAACTTTCATTATTTCAATTTTTTCTGTAAAATAAGAGCATTTTCCGATGACGTAATTTGAAATTCTAAATAAATGGATGATGTGAGTTCATGAGATAAATAGACGCATGTGTGAACTGAATCGTCAGTGGACCCGGTAGCGTGGGAACGCTGCCTGACCCCTCTCCTCCAGCCGCTGACAGGAACTGTTACAAATGTGTCCTTGATTGCTCTTAAGCAAACCTGTCTTCTAAATTAATGATAATGATAACCCTGCACGAAAAATCCATTTGGAAAGAAGAGCCAGGGGAGAAGAAATGAGAGGAGGGAGAGCCTGTCCTGAGAGTGTTGTGTCTGTTAGATGCAGTGTCTATTCTCTGTTCAATGTAGCTGCAGACAGAGCGAGAGTGAGGAAGGTGTGAGTGGAATGCATCTCCAGGCCCCCTGTTTGTACAACCTTCCCTAAAACAACATTATAGGAACACAAGGAACTTGATTAGGAATTAGGCCATGGAGGGAATTTCTTTTCATTTTAATTGCAAACAAATAACACATTTGGCTATGGAAATTAGAAAAGAAAATAATAAAGAAAATGTAATCATGAAATGATAATCATGTCGTATTTTTTTCAAAATGGAGCCTAGGCAGATGTTCAATTGAATTACCCGCCTCCAACACAGGCCAATCAGCTTTGAACCACACCCCCACTAAAGCCAGTCAGAATACAGAGTTCATCCTAAAAGGGTCTCCAAATCTACATCTCAGTCTACCACCCAAGGACGGCCAGACTTTGACTCAGACGACCCTGATTCAATCCACCTCCATCCCCTTCTCCACCATCGTAACTAAAGCTTCATTGGTGTGTCATTCCTCTCCGACTCTTACTTCGTTACCTGTCCAATCTAAACCGGTCCGGCAGAAGACCGCCATGTTAAGCCTGGTTCTGCCAGAGGTTTCTTCTTAATGGGATGTTTTTCCTCTCCACTGTCGCTTCATGCTTGCTCATCATGGACAGGTTCCCTCAACCTGTTTTATCCAAGCTGGGTCTCCATCTTCAGGGCCCCTGGTGAAGCTCTGGATCTCTCCAAACAGCAGTCATGCAATGACCAACTTCATCTATCTCCACTCCACCACCAGTTTCAGGCCTGGGGGGAAACATCCTTGTTCTGTACTCCTGTTCATGTGGACCAAAGCAAAATTAAGTGCTAATGTTGTCTGATTGCCAAAGACTAAAGTAATTAGTATGTCAACAAAATTCTTCTATGTCTTTTCTTTCTGTATTAGTTTTTCAAATTGAATTGGTTATTTTCTAAAATATTTACTTTACAGAATTTATGTGTTTTTTTTGTGAATGTCATAATTTTTTTAAATAGTGTTTTCCTGATCATATTCCCTTTAAATTTGGGGCAGGCTTTTCTTTTGGGTTGAGAAGAAAAGATGAATTTCTATTGGTCTAAACTTTAGTAACAACATTGTGCTGGTTAATATGCGCGTCAAGAGCGAGTACTGCGCTGTAGAGAGAAGGTTACCTGAGAAATGTAATTTGAAAAGTATGAAATTCATATAACTCATTATGAACAACAGAAGAAAAAATATCAAAGTTATACAATTTACAAAAAAGATTAATTTTAAAAAGTAAAATATGAGAATTGATTTTATAAATTATTTGAAATGCCAAAATCTGAGAACAGCAAAGTACGGTGGCCGACAGGTGCAAATGCGCAGCAAAAGAGAAAACATGCAAACAAAAAAAAAGACACGCTCACAAATTAAATGCGGCAAACAAAAAGCAAATAAAATGCAGCAAACAAAAAAGAAGACACCCCCGAATGAAATGCAGCAAACAAAAAGAGAGACGCAAACAAAAAAGAAGACACCCCCGAATGAAATGCAGCAAACAAAAAAGAAAACACCCCCGAATGAAATGCAGCAAACAAAAAAGAAAACACCCCCGAATGAAATGCCGCAAACAAAAAGTGTTGAAAACGGAAGTGCTCCAGACCACTAGGGGGAGTCAAAGAAAATAGTATTCATTTCTATGGGACCAGATGCAAGATTCAGAGAAAGATATTTGAAAGAAAGTAAAGGTACGTATTACTATATTTCTTTTTAGATACGCCGTCTTTTATAATATTACAGAATAACAGAATAATTTATGGGTAGCGTGATAGACTTTGTGTCAGTCATACCGTTGATAGATAGATAGATAGATAGATAGATAGATAGATAGATAGATAGATAGATAGATAGATAGATAGATAGATAGATAGATAGATAGATAGATAGATAGATAGATAGATAGATAGATAGATAGATAGATAGATAGATAGATAGATAGATAGATAGATAGATAGATAGATAGATAGTGAATTCGATTTACGCTTTTAACTTTCGTATTTTTATCTTTTTTTGATTGCTCTTATTTTTTCACAGTGACTCTGTGAAGTATTATCCTCTATAATGAGGTATTTTTCGGGGAGGTTCTGTGCTTTTTTGTGCTGTTTTTATCATGCTGCTCCCACCGGGACACGCTGCCTTTGTTTACTCCAGAGAACAGCTGATCGCTCTAATGCCGGCCAGCGTTTTAGCCAGACAGCTGAAATACCACCCGAACTCTGGAGGAAAACACGCCGTGGTTGCAGAGGAGGAAAACAACATTATCACTTTACTTGGATTTATCACTTTAATTGGACTTTTCACTTTATTTGGATTTAGTTTTTACATATGCATAGATATACGTACAGATATATATGCAGAAGAGCTATATGTGTATATATATTTTATCTCTTTTTATTCTTATTTTTTTAAATCTTTATTATATTGTATAGTTGGATGTGTGTATATATCATGTAAAACTGTAACTGGAGCGTGTAACAAAAGTAATTTCCCTCTGGGATTATTAAAGTATTTCTGATTCTGATTTACCTTTTTTAGGTGGCCATGTTTTGCTGTTTCTGTGGACAAAATCTAGGAACAATTCAAGTTTTCTGTTTTTCATGTGGGAAGAATGTGCAGATCTTGGCACAAGCTCAAGACACTGGTAAGCAGTGATGGCATAGTTACTTGTAAAAATTAACTTTAATCGATTACTTATTACTACTTGAAAAAGTAGATTAGTGATTACTTTTTTTGGAAATTCACTAAGTTACATTATTTATTTTTCTCCACCACTTGTGAAAAGCTTGAGCGTTGCCAGCCATATGTATGGCTCCTCAACAGCCAACCAACGCATCGAAAGCTGGGGGTCATATTTCAGAAAACAAAGGTGAGTTTGTCAACAGTTTATTGTAATTTTTGTATAAATACCAAGTAGTAGACCTTGAAAAGGTGAATAAATTTAGTAGTCTTCTTGGATAAGCAAACATTTCAAATTTTTAATGCAACATTTTACTCGATTACCTCTACTTTGTCAGAAGAAATGAAGTACTTGCATATCTCTTAATGACCATTATGTTTTTGTGCTATATACAACTTAATTTTATAGTTTAACATTTGATATGGATGAATCAGAAGCTCAACATTTAAAGTATAACAGTTGATGTCTGCTTACTTTATATTTAACTTTGTAGGTCAACATATATTTAACTATTTTCATGACATAGAAACTAGTCCTATTACTTTCTGCTGATATAATTATCTTATAATTTTGGTTTATTGTTGATCTCAGTTCTGGATGGATCTCATGAACGATTTGAAGGAAAGACATCTCTTCAATGGAAGTCATGAGCACACATGCCTTGTGCGGTTTGTCTTCATGGATATGCTACAGAGAGATCTTGATGAATGCAAGAACAGGTGGCATAAACATACCATAAGACCTGTTAAACAATCTTGCTGTCCATCTGGTAAACCAGATGTGATGTATCATCTACCTCACAGGTAATTTTTGTTGTTTTTGTCTTCAACATCTGGTTAATTTAAAACCTCTTTGGGAACTCTAAAAAATAATTTGCCAAAACAAAAATAATGAACAATGTGTTAACAGTATGTCACTTTTTATTCTAACAATTTCAGATGACAATTTCTAAAATGTAAATTTAAATACAATTAATCATTTAGACAGGTTATAACAATAGTCAGAGCAGTAACAGTTTAGTGAAGAAATGTAAATATAACTAAATGTTTCCTGTATTTCTTCTATTCCTAGGTTTGGTGGAACAGACTGTGGTTTCCTAGTTTCCCAGGAGCCATTCGGACAGTTTGTGACAGAGACTAACAACATTCAATGTGGAGATGAACACCTTCAGGCACATTTTGAGAACCTCCAGAGACAGTGTGGCCTAGCACATCCACAGAGTTGGGAATCATGTGTCGAAAACTATATTAAACTGAAAAACATGGTGGACTTATAAACAAACAAGAATCCAAATTTGAAGGTCGCACACAAACAGTAAACAGTGTCATAACTGAACAGGTTTGACAAGTTAAATAGATAGCATTTTGTTTTGTTTTGCATTTGACCTTAATAAAGCCCAAACCCAGGGGAGTTTTGAATCCCAAAGTCCATGTCTTCTTTAAACTGATGATACGTCTTGGACATTGGTATTTTGATAGTGTTGGAGCAGGTGCTACTGACAGGAAAACGAGAAGTGGCCTGAAAGATCAGTTTTGGTGGTGGCAGAATTGAAGATGGAGGTAGTGTGTTCAAGCCGGTGGCAAACATCAGGACGTCCTGGAGAAAGAAACCCGTTTTTTGTTCTAGAAAAGAAGCAATGAGTTTATGTATCAGATATTACAATAACACCAGAATATAGCAATAAATCTTAAAGTCCTCCTTCTGCGTCAAGGAGAAGGTCTCTCCAGAATCCTAGCACTCTTGTTTCCTCATGTCGTCTGCTGCTACCCTTTTCACTGAGCTGAACCTCAAATATTTCCTCCAATATTTTGGATGTCAGCTGTTCCACTCTTGCACGCATAAATGGCCTGAAGATGGAAGCATGCTGCTCCAAAGCATTCTGGAAGTTCAGTGTTGAAAGGCCATCCTTGAATCTATAAAAAGTTTGAAACAGAAATCACCTTAATTATTATCAAAAGAGCTGATATTTTTCAGTAACACAAAGAACATTAATATGTCTAATCTATTTTTATTATTTTTATTTAGCATAGGTAATATTGCTGATGCACTGTGTGTGTGTGTGTGGGTGCTGTTGTAACCATTAATCTCCCGTTCAGTTCAACCTTATAAGCGGAGATACATACTTGATATTACTATAATTAAATAACTTGTAATTAATTATTTGCAACGTTCAAGCTTTTCACAAGTGGTGGAGAAAAAAAATAAATAATGTAACTTAGTGAATTTCCAAAAAAAGTAATCACTAATCTACTTTTTCAAGTAGTAATAAGTAATCGATTAAAGTTAATTTTTACAAGTAACTATGCCATCACTGCTTACCAGTGTCTTGAGCTTGTGCCAAGATCTGCACATTCTTCCCACATGAAAAACAGAAAACTTGAATTGTTCCTAGATTTTGTCCACAGAAACAGCAAAACATGGCCACCTAAAAAAGGTAAATCAGAATCAGAAATACTTTAATAATCCCAGAGGGAAATTACTTTTGTTACACGCTCCAGTTACAGTTTTACATGATATATACACACATCCAACTATACAATATAATAAAGATAAAAAATAAGAATAAACAGAGATAAAATATATATACACATATAGCTCTTCTGTATATATATCTGTACGTATATCTATGCATATGTAAAAACTAAATCCAAATAAAGTGAAAAGTCCAATTAAAGTGATAAATCCAAGTAAAGTGATAATGTTGTTTTCCTCCTCTGCAACCACGGCGTGTTTTCCTCCAGAGTTCGGGTGGTATTTCAGCTGTCTGGCTAAAACGCTGGCCGGCATTAGAGCGATCAGCTGTTCTCTGGAGTAAACAAAGGCAGCGTGTCCCGGTGGGAGCAGCATGATAAAAACAGCACAAAAAAGCACAGAACCTCCCCGAAAAATACCTCATTATAGAGGATAATACTTCACAGAGTCACTGTGAAAAAATAAGAGCAATCAAAAAAAGATAAAAATACGAAAGTTAAAAGCGTAAATCGAATTCTCTATCTATCTATCTATCTATCTATCTATCTATCTATCTATCTATCTATCTATCTATCTATCTATCTATCTATCTATCTATCTATCTATCTATCTATCTATCTATCTATCTATCAACGGTATGACTGACACAAAGTCTATCACGCTACCCATAAATTATTCTGTTATTCTGTAATATTATAAAAGACGGCGTATCTAAAAAGAAATATAGTAATACGTACCTTTACTTTCTTTCAAATATCTTTCTCTGAATCTTGCATCTGGTCCCATAGAAATGAATACTATTTTCTTTGACTCCCCCTAGTGGTCTGGAGCACTTCCGTTTTCAACACTTTTTGTTTGCTGCATTTCATTCGGGGGTGTTTTCTTTTTTGTTTGCTGCATTTCATTCGGGGGTGTTTTCTTTTTTGTTTGCTGCATTTCATTCGGGGGTGTCTTCTTTTTTGTTTGCGTCTCTCTTTTTGTTTGCTGCATTTCATTCGGGGGTGTCTTCTTTTTTGTTTGCTGCATTTTATTTGCTTTTTGTTTGCCGCATTTAATTTGTGAGCGTGTCTTTTTTTTGTTTGCATGTTTTCTCTTTTGCTTCGCATTTGCACCTGTCGGCCACCGTAGCAAAGTTTCTCACAAAATCTTTTTTTGATTAAAACATTTTCCAAAATTTCATTCCTTGCAACAATAATGGGGAGGCATTTTGATACAGATTAATGTGATTAACCTCCTAAGTTTTATAAGGAGTTTTATCTAGATTGTAATAAATGAGTCTCTTCACTCCACAATTCACCTTTAACTCTTTATCCTGTTATGCAAAGCTTTAGGGCTATATTTTTTAAAAGACACAGATGTGTTTCACTTATGAGAAAGCTCAACAATTATGGAAGGTGAAACAAAGTGCATCTTTTAAAGATACATCCATCCACTTTCTAACACGCTTACTCCCAAGCTGGGTCACGAGGGGGGCTGGTGCCTATCTCCAGCTGTTGATGGGCGAGAGGCAGGGTACAACCTGGACAGGTCGCCAGTCCATCGCAGGGCAACACAGAGACAAACAGGACAAACAACCATTCAGGCACACAGTCACAGAATTTAGAGAAGCAAATTAAAGTAACAGTCATGTTTTTGGACTGTGGGAGGAAGCCAGAGTACCTGGAGAGAACCCATGAAAGAACATGCAAACTCCACGCAGAAAGACCCTAGGCTGGGAACCAAACCCAAAACCTTCCTGCTAGTGCTACCCACTACTCCACTGAGCAGTCCCGAATAAGCTTGGAGAATTTCTATCAACACTGGTGAGCTAATGAATCCCCACCAGAGCCCACATTTCTGCCCCAATACATTTCTGGTTGTCTCTCCCGATGACGCTGTCAGTGAACACCAGGCCTTCATCTCAAGCTTTGTTAATTTTTTATTAAAACTTCTTATGACTTTAAATCTAAGTCCAACGTAGAACTAAACCTAGTAGACAGGTTAGCAGGTTGGTTTGCATCATCAATTTCAAAGCAAAAAAAAAAAAGTTATGCTATGACATCTGGCCTAGGAAAGTATTAGTAGAGCAACACGGGAGTTCAGGTCTCATTGTGAGCTTTTAATACCTAGTTTAGAGTAAATAATAATGAGGTACTCATTATTATTTTTAAAAAGATAAATTTAACAAATGTGTTTGTCAATCCATCAAGTTATTTCCCCCTCTTTTTGTATCAGCATGCCCTGATGCTGATCTCCAACTGTCAAAGTGGAGAGGTGGAGTACACCTTAAACAGGTTGCCATGGTAACATGGGGGCACAGAAAGTGAATCCACATGCGGCACAGGCCAACATGAAAGGACAGTTGAAGGTCAGGGATAACATGCATGTTGTTATACTCTGGGGGGCATCTATGGTACCCAGAGAACAAACACACATAATTGGTGAACAATATGCAAGCTGCTCATGCCCGGATGTTAACGCCTAACCCTTAGGTCACAACATTCACGAGTAACCCTAAAGTCACAAAACTAAAACTTAAACTTTAAAAAAGTCTATGGTAACATAGATGTAGCACCCCATTCAGTTATAATATCTAATGGGTGCATTCTTCACCGTGCTGCCATGTTGGTATGAAAACAAACATTTCTACGTATCTATTTCAAGTTTAGGTTTATTTTAAATTGACTCTTGCTTGATTATTTAGAATATATTCTCTTGGTCATTTATGAGTGATTATCTGCTTTGATTATATTGTATTTCTTCTTGGAGAATACTTATTTGCTTTGTTTTTAAGGAAAGCTCTATTTTTTTCATCTAGTTGGTCACTTTGTTTTAATAAAGAACACAGTGAATTTTTAAAATCTTTTCATAATATATCTTTTCATAAGATTATATGATGTAGGTTTTTTATCTGTAGGCCATAATGTTTCTTACAGTGGTAATGCACAGAGGAGGCTTTAATAAGTTGAGTTTTATTTCACCAATATTTTATTAATCATTTTGACACCAGTAAACAAAGACGACCTCAATTACCGAGCTTCAAGGATGTTTTAGTCGATATTAATTAAGACCTCTGGTAAAAAAAAAAAAAAGATGTAAAGTAGGAAATTTTATAGAAATTGGAACAACTGAGGAGTTATTTATTATTTTTACTGAGATGAAATACAAATAGACAAGTTCTATATACAGTATCATCTGCAATTAATGTTTTCTTGTTCAATACATTTTTTTTTTCTTCTGAGAAACAATTTCTTGAGAACCAAAATGCCAGAATCCAGAAGTTAAAAGTAGTCCTTAATGTGCCTGAAGGCCTGTTACCATAGTTACATCTGCTTCATTAGATGAAGCTGGGGTTAATAATGGAGTCAGATGACTTTTTTTTTTCAATGGTTGTCCTGTGGAGATATTAGGAGTTATTTTATTCAACAGGAAAGAATGTTGGCGTGTTACTGAAGATGGAGAGATGGCAGGAAACCAGTTCGTCTCTCAGGGTCACTTGATCAGGGTTGACACGTCCTGAAGGAACCCAAGAGGCTATCAAAGCTGCCTCCTGTCAGCATCACAGTGTTTGGTATTTCTTACCTTATAAAAATGTCCTGTTTTTTTAACCTTCTTTTTGTCTTATTTTCTAAAAAAATATAATAATAATTCTAACCCTTCTGGCTGCCATGGTGTGAAAATGTAATTGCACCCCTTGTTCAATCACGAATGAATTGTTATTTAACAGATGGATCCGGTTACTATAAAATATGTTGTACAGCAGCCTCTACCTGTCCTGGAAAACAAGTAAACATCCCCATTTCATGTAGAGCGTAAGTCAAACGCCACCTCCAGGAAGGACCTACCTTAACCATACTGTACCTGCCCAGTAAACACGACCTCTTACCCCTACCAGTAAGGGTTTTGTGAGGCAGAGTGTGATTGTTTCTGCTCAAAGTAGCTCATTTAGCAAGTAATCTTCAAAGTGGCAGCAACCGTTCTTTAATGAGCTGAGGTCCAAAATTTTTGTTTTTCTACGTTGATACATCTATGGCTTTCTTCTGCCTTCCTTGGGAAGACGTAAACACCTTTTTGCTTGACATCATGCAACAGTGGTGAGAGTGGTGAGGACTGCACATGCATGTGGAGAGGCAGCATTGCAGTGAAACAGCAAAAGCAAATGACTTTTTTCTAGGTTAGAATGTATAACCAATGGATTCTCTGTGGTGCCAATGGCAACATTTGTAAATATTTACCTGTAGTTTACTTTGTAACGATGAAAAAAAGTGAACCTTTAAAGGATAAATGTTCCAGAGATTATGATCCCTAGGAGTTGAACATATAAACTTATGTCATGGTTCTATGTTGGATAATTGTTTCTTGGTGGTATCCTCCCCTCTCAGCTCTGTGTGGGCTTCATACTGGTAACTGCTTACTCCAGGTGTGACAAAATTATTTTTATATCGGTTCACTTCAGGATCACCTTTTTTTAATTTCAAATGTGACCTGTATGGCAGTGTGTCACTCAGAACTTTCAAGGTACGGCCCAGAAAAAAATATTTTATTAAGAACAGCATTACTGCTTTCACCAAAATATTCCACCTGATGTATATATTAAATATAAAATTTATTAATTATTGATTGATTGTTTCAAATTTAATGGCCACAAAGGAGAAAAAAAGTAGACACAAGAGAGAAAGGGCATTACTCATAAGGTTGGAAGGGAAAGAAGGAGAAAGAAATAGAGGAAAGAAGGAAGCACACAGATAAAACAAGTCAACAACCTTGAAGCCTGCTTCTAGACCTGTGGAAAGAAAAAAGAAGAGAGAAACCACAATTACAAACAAAGCTATATATAATAATAATGACAGATATAATATCAGTGGAAGGTACATGGAATAAGGCCTTTAGTGGCAACTGAAGAACACCTGAGAGTGTTTCTGGCAAAGACCCAAATCTAAACACCCATCTGTGGATGTGTGTGTGAGTGTGTTTGAATCCATAAGCTTTGTCCTTAAGAATGTTCAATGGTCGGTGTGGGGGCCCACAGACCCACCCTCCCCAGCACACTTCAGCATCATCAAGTTTTTGAAAGGGCCAGCTGCAGCTGTATGAACAAACCTCTGACTTCATAACATCCATTACAAAGAGCACACGGCTCTGTTATCATAACTGTACCCCCATTTATTTGGAAGCTTAAGCTGTTTTGTAGACTTTCACACAATATTTGCCTCCACCTTATGATGTACATTGCATGGTTGGATAAATTGCTATGCAAGGACAGATTCAGCCCACAAGCCCTGAGTTCGACAAATATGGCTTTACATCCTTTAATCGTATGACCTTATCTACTATACTGTTTCAAAAGCTTGTTAACTCAGTTTTTGCTGAATAATCAACAACAAGGTTATATCAGGGAGGAATTTCTCAGCCTTTACCGGCTAATTTTGATGCAGAGGAACGTCTGCTCTGCTCTGAACTCAACTCACACACAGACTCATTCAATGCAATAGAGAATTCATAGAAAGTTAATTTACTTCAGTAACTCAACTCATAATGTGAAGCACATTTCCTTGCACATTTTATTGATGACTACCAAAAAGCTGATGCTTTTTTAAGACTTCGTTTCTGTCAACTATGATGATTATCTGCTAACTAATGAAACGCAATAAGACAAATAAAAAATTATTTTCTTACACAGAGACAGTCTACACACGACTTACCCTAACAGCTATAGTTTCAAAAGACCAATTTCCTGTTATTGCCTCTTTCCAAGATGACATTCTGCATTTAATCACAGTGTATCTCAGTGTTTGTGATGACAAAGCATAAGAGGGTGATCATTTGATCAAAAGTCTAAAATCCTCTCAATCAGCTTCTTTAAGATGACCCTTACTCTCCTTAACACAATAAAATGTGTCATACTGAACATTTTCTATGGCAAGTAACACGTTGTCTGTCA